CTTTGGGAGCTGTTCTGGACAAAGAGTTAAATACAAGCAGTACACATAGAAACAGATGCACCACCAGATGCACCACCAAACACCCTTTGCCTCCCCAGTTCCAGACAACTGGGTAAAGCAAAAACACTGAAAGGAGCAGAGAAGAAAATCCTGGCACTTAAAGTTTAGAAATTGCTGTGAAGTCACCAGCAGAGACAGGGATGACTTGTTCTCTCTCTCATCATCATCTTCCCGACAGCTGCTGGGGAACATCAACAAAACTTTTAAGTGCATCTGGAGGAGTGGTGCAAAAATTCCCCTTGATGCAAATGAATTGCTCAAATGCAGCTAGGTAACCACCCAGCCCCAAACCTATAAGTGGTCTGAAAATCCCTGAGGCACCATATCATTTATTTTTACACTCTGTTTTCAAAAGCTGTCTTTGCCTTTGTGAGTGACCTCAGTTCCTATGTCTCAGGAGGTAGCTGGATCTGACGCTCAGTACCATGCTTGTTACTCCTGAAGACTCCTAAATGGCTGTGTCCATTTCTGCTTGAAAGCTCCTTCTCACAGCAGCCCAGATCCCCATTCTTACAGAAACCCTCTGCAACAATTTTACCTCCTAATGCTTTATCATCCCACACAAAGTCAGTTACAGGAAAACAAGCAACAAGGCCAAAGTATCACTCCATCATGTGCATGACCAAAAGGGGAAAGATCTCCATGGACCCAGCCAGGTATGGAAACAAGGTCCGACCCCTACCTGTAGCTTTAATGGACTTCCACGATCATCCTCCTTTTGCCGAGCATGGCCAGGGATAGGTCTGCCGGCCTGCAAGGGGCCAGCTCATCACATGCGCTTTTTCTAAGCGCAGTGTGCTGAATGTATTCCCCAGCAATTGAAGATCCTGAGCAAGAGTTTGGAAAGTGTGCAGCACCTCTGTGTCCTAAAATACATCCTCACAATACACATCCCTCTGTTGCCTTTCATAAGCCCAAGATGCTAAGCAAATTTTCTCCATTTGTTTGTCCTGTGAACATCACCTTTAACCTCCCACTTTGAGTATTCCACCCTGAGTTCTGGAAGACAGTCATCTCAAGGTCGTTGTTACTTATGCTGCACATACTGATACGCTGAGACAGTGTGGTTCTGAATCACCTCCCAGATTATAAAAGCTCTGATCCAATTTCATAAATTCAGTTTTTGGATAGGAAACCACTAGATTATTATGATCAAAAAGTTGTTAGGGTCTTGCTGATAATTTAGATGGGGGAAAAAAAATTTTTTTTTAAAAGAATTTCCTGTGCAAGTTTATTACTTTACACTGTTAAGTAAGTACTGAAACAATTCTTTTTCCATTATTTAACAATAAGATACGTATGGTAAAAATTTGCAAAGTACACATAGCAACTGGTAACACTAGCACAGTATCTGCTGTAAACCAGCACAGAATATGTGGATGTAACAATTAAGAACCATCTGCTGACCGGCCACTTGCTGGTACAGAAATGAAATTTCAATTAAGGTTTATTATCAGTGTATATGGCAGCTCCCATTTGAAACCCCAGAGCCAGTAAACTGTCCGAACAAAGAGAAGGATGTCACTCAGTTAATGGGTTGGATCACGCTGCTTGGTTACATACTTTGTACGCAATGTGCTCCCTTCCCGTGTTCTTGGGCACAAAGTGCTTATGCAGTTGGATTTTTAAGAAGAATGGGCCATATGGCAGGTAAATTGGAAATCACACTGCAATTTACTGAGAATAGGGCAATACAATAGATGAGTCAATCCCTTCCCAGGTTTGACAAGCCAGAATTGCATTCTTGTGCAAGACAAAAAGTAAAAAAAACAAACTGAAAAAACATTTTCTAACAATTAAGCTCTGCCAGCTAACACTGCAACTGTGTTTGGGTTCACTTGGAGCTGTAAAACAAAACCTGGAAATTCTTCTTCTCTCCCACCCTAATAGTTCACATTAGTATCAGACAGTAATTCAGAGGATGGTCTTCAGGATGTTGGAAGAAACCCAGCCTATCAGAAAGTTTCAAAAGAGAGAGATTATTAATGGGGTAGCAATGACAGACTCAGTCTTTCAGCTATGAAATATGTTCCAGTATTAGATGAATAAGTCCTACATTTCCTGTTCCCTCTCAGCAATCAATAACTATTATTACTATGATTTTTTCTTTAATTTTTAGTATACAACACTAAGGGTCTGTCAAAAAAATATCAGTTACCTCATCCAAAAATGTTTCATCTTTTCTACATTACAGTTCAATTAAACTTTAGTTCCATTAGAGAAATAGAGTCTGCAGTTACTGATCCATGAAAGTTATTACAGATCTCAATTTTGCAGTCATGAAATGAATCTGCAATACAATCACAGCACCTGGAGAAGATCTGTTCTGCTTCAGCCAGTCAACAGTTCTCTAAACCGGAATCAGAAATTACAAATAAGAAAGTTAAATCCAGACTGTGACCCACTGTGCTCTGAGCTCATTCAAGAACAACTCCACAAACCCACACCAGTGAAAAGAGTCAATCTCAGTCTCTGGAGAACTCCTCAAATGGGATCAGTGCATATTTGCAAATGCACAGATACAGTTGACTTTGCAACGCTAAACATTAACCTTAAGAATCAGTCGGCCTAAGGAGCAGAGTAGAGGAATTCTGTCCATTCATTTTTAACTTTCGCTATATTCACCTTTAACAGATGTGACTCTGCAGACAAATCACTACCATCCTCCACGCAACCAAACCATGATAGCCTTTAGATTAAGTTTCATTGCACAAGTATAATATTGGTTTTTATTTATATTTATGCTTTTTTGGCATCATGTATCAAGGTAAGTATTTTTCCCTCCTGAAATGTTTTCTCATAGGCTGTCACAAGACAGCAAGCTTAGTATATGCAGAAACTATTCTGAACATTGCAATATTAGATTGAACCCTAACAGAAGTTGCCTCTCCTCCCTGAAGTCAAGAAAAAACATCAGTGGCATAATCCTATTCTCCGAGTAAGCTCTGCTTGGAAACTGAATGGCCAAAGTGCTCCCAAGGGTGGCAATTAGTATTTTAGCCAGTGAAATCATTCGGGGAGACTCTTGAAGATTTAATGAATTCCCCAGTAGTCATTCCATGACAGGATTGCCAGCATATTAGTAACTGTTACAGATAATGCTGCCAATACGTTATAAGCCCTCGATTAGTCAGTCAGAACTGCCTAAAGTTTTAATGTGATGAATTGTGCATACAGACTCTTCTCAGAGGGCAATGCTCTGCATTAATGCAGTCATAGATGGGCCATTTGGGAGCGTAACAGTACTTAACTCAGTATACTTGGCAGGACGTCACTGGGAAGGCAAGGCATTTCTCACCCAAGCTTCTGCTCTTTGTCTCTTACCTCCCTAATGTTTGTGCCTCTGAACTAGAACATGATTAGATCTACCTGTTCTGGACTTCATTTTCTGGATTAGGGGGGAAAAAAAAAAGCACAGGGAAGAGGTCCAACTGAAAACTCAAGCTCCCTATGTATTCAGCCAGCATTTAGAGATGAATGGACTCAGCTGTGACACACAGAACTACAGAAGATAGCACTTGAAAGAATTAAGGATTTCAGGCTCATTCTTAAAAATCCCCTGTAACAGCAACTCTGCAAATTCCCCAGGCAACATATTCAAGTGTAATTATCATGACTCTTAAAATTAAGTTTTTCACATGCCTAACTTAAGTGTCCTTGATGCTATGTAAGTCTATTATTTTCCATCTTGTCCACTACAGAAAGAGAGAACAAATTATTCCCTTCTTCTTTAAGGCAGCTTTCTATGTCTTAAGACTTACCTTTCCTTTTAGTTTCTTTTCTCTGGACTAAGCAGCCACAGTTCTTGCAGCCTTCCCTCACAGGTCACTGTTTTGTGATCATTCCTACTGGTCTGCAATTAGAGCCCACACCTTCCTTGAAGCACTGTACCCCGAGCTAGACGCGGTCACTCCAGATGAAATTTTCCTAGATCCTCGCAGAAAGAAATAACTACTTCACATGCCTTCCAATCTCTCCCTGCGTATTATCTGCAGGTGTAATACACATCCTCTCTCTTCTATCAGTTAGCTGTTAATGAAAATATTGAATATGCCCCGACTCATTACAGACCCTTACAATTCCTCACTACTACCTATTTCCATGTTGACAGTGAACCACTGAGAACACAAAGCCAACTGCATTAGGAATCTCACATCTGAAGCATGTTCTCCAGCTTGTTGGTAGGCATGTCAGAGCATCCTAATGTCAGGACACATGACATCCACTGATTCTCCCCTATCCAAACAGTCTGTTACACTGTCATAGAAAAAAAAAATAGATTAGTCTGGTATGACTTGTTCTTGACAAAGCCAGGCTGGCTATTACTCATTTCCTTGTTATCTTCCAAACACTTACAGACTGCCTGTATGACTACTTGTTACAGTATTTTCCTCCTGGATTTCAAAAGGATAACATCAGTCAGACAATATACAGGTAATCAGTAGTAAGGGTATTATGTTCAGAAAAACAAATGATGAGTAAGCAAACACAACGTACCTTGGTGGCTTATGTCTATAAGCAAACAAAAACTAATAGATCAAAGTGGACTTGGGAAAGGAAAATAAAATCTGCCAAATGACGCTAAAGAAATCTTTTATGTCTCTTACTCATCTTCACTCACTATCACTAAAGGAATGAAATTAACATGCCTGTTAAGACGGACTTACCAGAACACAAGGAAACCTAACGATAGCATTAAACCATAGCAGTATAACTAGACTCATTCAAGTCTCAGAACAAGTTTGCCTTAACAAGGTGATTGGACTGTCACAAAACTTCACTAGCAAGACAAATGGCCCAGGATGATCTAACGAGGAGTAGGTATTTACATGAATCAGAACAGAAGTTGCATTTCCACTAAGTGGGCTGGAAATGGTTTATGGTTCAGATTTCTCACCAGCAGTGTTTAGGAAGAAGTTGCTTTTCAGGTATGATTAAGAAGAGGATCACGTCTTCTGTGAAGCATTACGTGTTGGCTCTTGCTGAAGACAGGAGGAGAGCCAGAATCAGAAAGAAATCCAGACACTTACAGTGCTGTACAGCTACTCAGGCTATGCTAAAAATAATAAACTAGGCAGGCCCAGAGCACAGGCCTGTGCCCTGACACACAATTGTCTATACTGTTCAACAGCCTGCACCCAGCATCCCCATGCCATGTATGCAGGCTCAGGTTGGAAGACAGTATGGGCTGCGCCAGCTCCCCGGAAACAGACTGTGTGAGACCCTCCCCGTCTTGAAAGCCAATAATTTGACCATATGGAAACAATTGTCACTGGACTGTGGCCAGGAAGTCGAACTTTGGCCTGCTGTATTTACTGTTATTAAGCGCATAGCCCTGGAGACCATCCTGGACACACAAACCATTTCTCAGAGTGGGGTGAAGCACCCTGTTGGGAATCCATGACAAGCATCAAGCATGTCTCATCCCTCATCATCATCTCAGTCCAATTCTGGGCTCCCTAGTACAAGAGAGACGTGGCACTCCTGGAGAGAGTCCAGTGGAGGGCGACAAAGATGATTAGAGGGCTGGAGCACCTCTCCTATGAGGAAAGACTGCAAGAGCTGGGCCTGTTCAGCCTGGAGAAGAGAAGATTGAGAGGGGATCTCATCAACGTGTACAAGTATCTGAAGGGGGAGTGTCAAGAGGATGAGGCCAGCCTCTTCTCCATGGGGCCCAGCAACAGGACAAGAGGCAACGGGCGCAAACTGAACTACAGGAAGTTCCATCTGAACCTGAGGAAAAACTTCTTCACTGGGAGGGTGACAGAGCACTGGAAGAGGTTGCCCAGAGAGGTAGTGGAGTCTCCTTCCCTGGAGATATTCAAAACCCGCCTGGACGCGATCCTGGGCAATATGCTCTAGAGGACGCTGCTTGAGCAGGGAGGTTGGACTAGATGATCTCCAGAGGTCCCTTCCAACCTCAACCGTTCTGTGACTCTGTGATTCTGTATTTTTGGATTAACCTGGTAAGCAGCTTGCTCTCTGCTCACCACACTGACAGGCTGGACTGGGCGTTTACTGGTTTGTACAGAGAGGGCAGGGAAAAGGGCTCAAATCCCTACCAGTCTTGCTCCTGGATCTTAGTGCATGCCTGAGTAGAAGAGCACAGCTTCCTTTTTCCCACCCAAGTACAGCATGTCCCTCCCCATGCCTTGGCAGATCCCATTCTGCACTTCAGGAAAGGTAGGTATAAGACCTCTTTCTCCAAGGGCATAATGTAGAAAGGATATTTTTGCTCCCAGAATGACAGGGCCCCTCCAGACCTCAGCTTTTATGGGAGAACAGAAAGATAGCCTTGGCTGTAGTTGGAAGGGAAGAGATATTGCAGGTCTTCACATAATTGTCAACAAAAAAAAAGGAGGAAATGAAGCTGAAAAGCACTTTCACATCTCCACATCCCACTGGCTCTGATCTTCACCTCCTCTAAAGGACCTGAAACTTCCAGCATTTTTCTTCACTCCACCCAGTACTAATTTCCTTCATCCTTGCCTTAAATTCCTCTCCACTGTTTCCTTCCACTCATATATCCCTTAATCCCATTTTACCTTCCTGCCAACATTTATGCCTTCTCTTTCCAAATTTATTCAAGTGCTTGCTGAATTTTCAGCTGCACTCAGATTATATTTCCCCCAAATAAAAAGCTCCCATAGGTGTAGCATCCATTCCTTCCTTAATTTTCAATATTAGTTGGATTCAAGCCTGTGTTGAATCACACACTTCATGCAAAAGACAGCTTTGCAGAACTTTTGAATTTCCACTTCATCCATTTTAACCATTCCATTAGCACCTTCATACCTAGAAAACCTTTTTTAAAGGAACCTTTTCTTTCAATTTGTTAACTGACAGACTGCCACATATTGAGCACCAGAAGGAGTAAAAGTTGAGTGGCAGACAACGCGATATGAGCCAAAAGCTGATCTGCGTGTCTCAGCAAACATTGGTGGAATCCATAAACTCTTTAAGGCGACTATCTGGGGTGCTGGGAGAGAATATTGCAGGAACCTTTTGCTTAAATAACCTTAAATTTATACAATAATACCTGGTATTGATAAGAAAAGTAACTAAAGTATAGCAGACATGGACCAAAAATTGCATAAGATAGATCATAAAGGAAAAAGAAACCCAGCTGAAGAATAGCTTTAAAAATTATAAACATTAAGACCAGCAGAATTTGCTATGCCAGAACAAAGCTACAGCATGCTTTGCTTCATTGCAAATGCATGACTCCAGCTTTAGTATGCTTAATAAATCATTCTGAACCTTGTATTCACACTAGATTTTTAGACGGATCTATCATACGGACAGTTTTTTAACTTCTATATTTAGATTTCGTTTTGTTCTAATCAACCAAAAAGTATCCATTAAATACATGCTTACACACATAACTATCAAACTAAGAACTGCAGGTTTTATTTTAACATATTAATTACAAAACATTATTAGTCCATTCCTTTTTTTCAAAAGGGAAATGAGAGAGAGAGCGAGCCACCCATAAATATTACTTTGCATTTTCTAGTTCAGTTTGACTTCAGTGTTCTTTAGATATGATGCAATGATGCAAGAATGTAGTAGAGTTTTTCTTAATACTTTTCCTATGGAAAGCGATTCAACAGTTCCTGGGGCAGTGCAGAATGTTTGTGTTATGCGTTTCTTTGCATGATCTATGATAAGAAATTAACTTTTGACTTTAAATTTGGTTTCTGTTCTCAGAAGGACAAAATACAAAGAGCCAAATCAGAAGTCAGCTTGCTCAGGTGGTTTGGGATT